AAACCATTCTGGTGTCAAAGCCGGCAACCGGTCTGGTGTCAAAGCCCGAAACCATTCTGGTGTCAAAGCCGGCAACCTGTCTGGTGTCAAAGCCCGAAACCATTCTGGTGTCAAAGCCGGCAACGGGTTCGGTGCCAAAGCCCTCAACTGGTCTGGTGTCAAAGCCCGCAACCATTGTGGTGTCAAGGCCCACAACCGGTTCGGTGCCAAAGCCCAAAACCGGTTCGGTGCCAAAGCCCGAAACCAGTCTGATGCCATCCTCAGTCTTAGAGCAGGAAAGCAGAATTCCTCCACCACTTGCACTTACCCATATCTCTAAACAGGGCTCCTCAACAGTCAGCAGTGGTCAAAATGCACCACCTACTCCTAAGACAACCACTGTGGTTCAGCAGACCACTGTGAGCATGAGCAGAGTTAGCACCCTTCCTCCAGCTCTCCAACCTATTGCCAAGTTATCAGAAAACAAACCAAAGGTCCAGCAGCCTACTAGCACCACTAGCATAAATGTGATCGATGTGATAAAGTCTGTAACAAAACCTGGTTTGGTGGGTAATTCAACCCAGGTCCTAGGCTGCCCCTCTAGTGTCCCAGCTGCTGCAGGAACCTCTCAAAACAGCCTTGTACCAACCAGTCAGCAGCTACCTAGGCCAGCAGAGTCCCCCATAAAATCACCTACGCAACTCATTATAAATAATACGGCAAGTCCCTTAATTGTAAAGCTTCCCCCTGGCTCTATCATTTTGCGCCCAGAGCCTCAGGAGACGTCCCAGGAAGAGCCGCAGCAGATATATGTATTGATTCCAAAACAGCAGCAGACACCCAGGGAACCTGTCTCCCCAGAGCCACCAGCTTCCTCCCAAGGGCCTAATAATCAGCAGTTGTCCTTGCCAGCTCAGCAAACTAGTTGCCTTAGCACTGAGCAAACTGGTCTCCTTAACACTGGTGGGGACAGAGGAGTTCAGCCGACGCAGTCATCTGTGGTGTGTCAGGCAAGCTCCACCCAGCAGAGTCAGAGTCACAGGCAGAATGCTCATTTACAGACCTTGGAGCTCTCTGCTATCATAATACAGCAGGGGCAGACTCAGAACCAGAATATACAGCTGAGAATCATACCACAAATAGTAACTGTGGAGAGACCAGACACTCAGTGCTCTGACGGTGAGCAGGCAGCTGGTGAACCGAGTGATAGAAAAACAGGAGGCCCACCAAACACCCCAAAATCCTGAGTCTTAATTCCCTTAAAAATGCACCAGCATTAAGCTAAATCAGTTCTCAGTTTTTCCTTTATCTCTGGTGTTTTGAATGTCCCAATATATTACAGTTTAAAATGCAAAACAAAAAACCCACAATACCCAAGTTTTACATAGAACCAGAGAAAGGATATTAAAAACAGGCAATTTTGCTGGTCATCCTTTTTGCTTTCAATATAGTCATGTTTACTGTTTTATTGTAGTGCCCCATGTGATTCCACATTCAAATGTTCAGTCTCTTCCAGATTGCCATTAGATAAATATTAAAGGTACAGTAGCATGAGGCTGACCAAGTGGCTCAGCAGTTAAGAGCACTTGTTCTGTCAAGGACTGGAGTTTGGTTCCCAGCACCCATGTCAGGCAGCTCACAGCCTGTCTGTATTGAATGCCTAGCTCCAGAAAATCTGACGTGCTTCTGGCCTCTTTGAGGACTGACGTACAGGTGGCCCTCTCGCACAAATACAATTTTACAATAAAATAGGATCTGCAGATCTGGCTTAGTGGTTAAGAGCATTTGTTGCTCTTGTACAGGAGCCAGGTTTAGTTTTCAGCATCCACATGGTGGCTCACAAACATCTTTTAACTCCATTTCCAGTGGATCTGACACCCTCTTCTGATTTGTGTGGCCACCAGGTACTCATATGGTGCACATATATGCAGGCAAACTCCCAAGCACATAAAATAAACTTAGTATATCTTTTTGTAATGGCAACAGTAAACTTTTAAGCTAAGAATTTAGGGATTATTTGAAAATGATGATTTAAAACAAACATGCATTTTGCTGTTTTAACAAATTTTTGAAGGAGGGGTATATCCTCAATGACTTTTTTTTTTTTTAACTTTTGGACGCAGGGTTTCTCTAGGTAGCACTGCTTGTCCTGAACTCACCACATAGACCAGGGTGGCCTGAAACTCACAGATATCCACCTGCCCCTGTCTCCGGAGTATTGGTAGTAAAGGTGTGTACCACCCTCACCTGGCCTGATTAGGGTTGTCACACTGAAATTGAGTACAGCCTAGGCTTGCACTCCTGTGCAAGGAATTCCCATGGCAGAATTGTCTGATGAGCATCCAGCCCTCGAAGGTTTGCCCTGCAGCCAGGGCTCTGGCAGACCTCAGCTCTCCTCCAGACCCTGCCACTGGCCTGGAAAAGGCCATCTGGGGTGGCTTGCTGTGGCTCTCCTTGTGAAGCCATTTACATGTTTTAGAATATTCTAGGTTACTGGCACGGAGGAGATAAGTAGCACTTAAAACTCAGTCTTCCAGACTGCTTCTTCAGTGCCCACAGCTGTCTGAGGCTGTTAAGTGGGACATCCTCCTCCTCTGCCCCCTCACCCTGGTTTAGTCCTCATCAATTGTTTGACACTCCCTGCCTGCTCACCTCATCTCAGTTTCCTTGTTCCAGTGGACTGGGCTGCTCTGCCCTTTAGAGGGTTGAGGGTCGATCAGTTCTGTAACAAACATTTATCACATCAAGGTGTATAGCTCCTTAGCATTTATGACATTGGCAGTGCTGTGCAGCCAGCCCTCTGTCTGTTTCCAAAACATGCTCAGCACTTCAAAAGAAGTCCTGGACCCATTAAGCACTAAGCAGGAAGGCATCTTCTCCCTCCCCACCCCTACCCCCACCCCAGCCACCGGCAACCACCAATTTGCTTTATGTCCCTATGAATTGAATTATTCAGTGTTGATATTAGGTGAATTTTACAGTGTTTTATATAGACAACTTTGTACTTTTGTGACTGCCTTTTTGCCTGGCAGGTGCTTAATGTGTATTCAGATTGTACTGTGTACCAGTACTTCAGTCCTCAGTCCCTTGTCTGTATACAGCCTGGTCTGTTTCTCCATGTTTGCGCTGTTTCCACCTTTTGGCTATTGTGGATGGTGGTGTTGCCATCGGTCATGGACAGGGATTGTTTTACTGCTTATGTCTTGTTCTTCTGTAACTCTGAAGGATAATGTGCCTACATGAAATTTGCCTCTGTAAGCAAGTGCACATGTATGTTTGTTTGCCTTTTTCCCTAAGAAAAAATGGAAACTTGGTCTGTCTGTTGTGAAAGAGGTTAAGTTAGCAAAGGGACAGGTGACTGTGATCGTCACTGGCATAAACCTATACTGAGGTCCTCCTGGTGCTCTTCAACAAAGATTTGACCTCCTTCAAGCACGCCGGTCACATTTGCCACCAGAGTGACAGCGAGCTGACTGGAGCATCCTGGACATTGCTGGGAGCGGGTGCCCGCACTTGGAAGAAGTGAACTGGCCCAGAGAGCAGTTGCAAAGAACCTAAGCTCAGCCTTCAGAGTCAAGCAGATCTGACCTCAGCGCGCTGCCAGTTTTGGTGTCCTTCCTCCTTTAGCTCTGTAAGTGGTCCATTCAGGTACAATAAGCAGAATGTTTTGCTCCAGTGATGTACCCTTCCTTTTCAGACAGACAAATAAATTCACCTTTGTTTCCAGTTACCGTTTAGTGGCATCTGTTTATTTCCCCTCCAGTGGTCTCCATTGTGGTGACAGTTTGTCTGTATCCAGGGTCTTATTCCCATATTTCTTATCTCCCAGCTGACAGCAATATAGTTATTTGTCTTTTTTGAATGAAGCTGACATC